AATGTAGGAGGTGGTCTTAAAATAGATGTAATTGTTTTTCTATGATATTATTTTTATTTTTTATTTTTTTTTAGAGAGAGAAAGAGAAACATCAATTTGTTGTACCACTTATTTATGCATTCATTGGTTGATTGTTTTTATGTGCCCTGACTGTAGATTGAACCCACAACCTTTGCATATCGGGATGATGTTTTAACTGAGTTTCCTAGCCAGGGTCCATCTGTCCTAGATTTATAACCAAATTTAAAGGAAAAGCTAAATGAGACCCTACATATAAATGAAGCTATGAAATAAAATTGTAGCACTTTTCTAAGGAAGGAGTGTAAGGCTATTGAACAGAATGTTTCATATATGACTTTTGCCACTATCCTATAATTTTTTGGTTAATTTCTTTCGAGTATTAACTAGGGTTATTTTCTAATTAGGATAATCTTCGTAGACAACAGATACCACCCAACATTTGTTACAGAATGTGAGTTGTAGTGATTCACAAAACTGAATTTCTTAAAATGGGGTATCTTACCAAAAAAAAAGAGAAAAAGCCCTACATTTTCTTAACTTTAAAACTGTGGTAAGGGGACATAGATTGGAATGCTCCATATTTAGTTTTGGAGATCGGGCTTGTTAAGTACAATGCCATGCTTTTTGAAGTCTGTACTATGAACATTTTTCAAAAACATTTTTTATATTTTAGATGAAATGCAGTGCATATTTATTTGAATAATAATAAAACATTTATTGAGACCATACAGGTCTTTTTTTCCCCTTTTTGAAAGTATGTGGTATGTGTACTTGCAGATGACCCCAATGTATTTTTGTTCTCTCTTTTCAGTGGTGACTTAATTTTTGGTAGTAACACTTAGGTTAGTTCACACTTTAAATTCCAAGAAGTTAAATCCCAGTTATTGTATAATCTGTTTATACTAACCATTTTATTTTAGAGGTGATTTTGTTTACCTCTGCCAACAGAGTTCCTGTTTCATGCCTTTCAAACATATTTGAACATATCAGCATTCCCACAAAAACTGGTTTTGGTATTTTTATGGAAGATTATTTCCCCTTCTGTTTCTCATTACTGTAAAGTTAAATCATTTTATTAGTAATTGAAAATTGCAAAAGACATTTATCTTCTCAGAAAAAAGGGAGGTCTGGGGACAGTATACTAAATGATTCTGTCTTGTTCTTTATGAAAATATTATTCCATCTTTCTTTTGACCCAAATGACCTAAATACACATTTCATAAAAATTATTTTGCACATTATTATTTACTATATCAAAACAATACCAAGCGTTAAATGAAACAGGGAAACTCAAGATCACAGAAACCTCTTCAGAACCTCTGATTTATTCAAACTCTTTTGATTTTTGTTTTTTAGAAACATTTCAGAAACATTCCTACAGATCTGCCATTACAGATCTGAACATTGAAAGCATACCAGACTTTAAATGCTTTAATTTTTTAAAGAAATACCATTAAAATCAAGATTATTTTGAAATGATTAAAATATCAAAGGAAAACCAATTCACTGTTTTAAGTCACTATAAGATAGTATTCCATTCATTATAAGTGAACCTATTCCAGATTTTTCTTTAATAGGAATGTTTTGTATACTTACACTTCATAAATTCTGGATGCTCCGGAGTCTCTGGAAATACACATCCCATTGATAAATGTTTGCTTAAACAAGTCACAACATTCAAGGAGCTAGTATTGTGAATTAAAGAGGGTTAATTCCAGGTGACTGGAATTTAACATGACTGCATTGATAGTGCTTTAATATAACTTAATGTTACATACCTTGATTGATTGCAAAAATACCATCACTTGCGGCTAAGTGAATATAGAGAGAAATGGGCCACTGTGACTTTGACATAAATAAGAATTCCTTCATAATGTGACAGCTGAAATACAGGACTAATAGATGTATTGTAAGAGGTTTCATACTACTGCCTTTAAATGAATCACACTTTCATATGGTAAAAGTCAATTTTGCATCGTCAGTATTTAAGAACCAATGATATGAAAGCTGATACAAAGGATATTTTTCAATAAAGAGAAAAGTACAAGGAGGGGCCCAAGGAAGAAAAATTATCTGCTGGAGGGTAGGCCCCTTGTATTACAGGCTTCCCCCACTATCTGCGTGTTCCAGGAACCCATTTGTATCAGTGTAATTTTTTTTTTTTTTTTAAAGACTCAATGCAGGTGATTTAAGAGCACACCTGCCCACACCACGCTGTGTTGAGCAGTTTTTGACCAGAAATGGCATGGCCCTGGTGCCCCATCCTCCCTATTCACCATACAGTGAATAGTATCTCGCCCCAAGTGACGATTTTGTTTCCCCAGATAAAAGTCCTCAAAGGGAAAGGTTTTGCTGATGTAGAAGGGGTAAAACAACAGCAAAAGCACTAAGTCATCAAAATCAATGAGTTCCAAAACTGTTTTGAGGATTGGAACAAACATCTCGATAGGTACATTGCATCAAGTGTAGAGCACTTTGAAGGTGACTGAAGTTTAAACCTGGAAGAATAAGTACACAATTTTTTATACATAAATTCAAGGTTTTTTGGGGTCCCCCCCTTGTGAACTAATTACACTAGGTAACTGGTTTTCAAAAGTAACACCTTAAAGAAGCAAAAAGAGAAACCTAAATATGATTCCAGAGATAACTTTAACATTTTCTTGTGAAAATGCTTATCTTTTTAAAATGTCAAACATTTCAGAAAGCATATTTGGGAAATGAGAAATTTAAATGACTGAACATATACATACAGTTTATAATGGCCTATATTCAAATTTTGAGCTCCATTCTTTTCACTGTTGGATAAGACTTTCAGAAGCTGTAGACAAAATTAAATATATAATCTTTTTAAAGAGCTGCAAGTTTTAAAAATCTGAACTTAAAAATGTTTTAATATATTGCACAAATTCATTTGTAAAGTGTTAGGATTGATATGATTTTGTTTGGTTTGCTCAATATTTGTATGGTCACTTTATACTGTACTCTGCAACTCAAAAGATACAGGACTAGGAGTCACACTGTTGGATGACCAGTACAGACAAACATTACCGCTAATACTCTCGTATTGGGCTTTCTTGCTGACATTCCCTGCCCCCCAACATTCTATACGAAGTAAATAGCATCCCTATTACGAGTTAAAAAATGTATTACATATATGAAGTAAAAATTCAATATTTGTAGTTTTTTTAGATCACAATATTCAAACAAAACAATGGAATAATCAAATGAGAATATGTGACCCCAATGAGTAGCAGAAAAGAGGGACCTAAACTGTTGGAAGAGGTTCCAGTCCTGACCCCTGTCTGATACAGCTCCACAGTAAGAAGTCTAAGGGATCTGAGCAACAGCTTGAAAACTTGATTGATTTTGATTACCCTGAATTTATTTTTATTGTTGACACTATTGCAGGTGTGCCCATGCCCCCAGCCCCCCAAAACTCTTAATTTAGATTATATGAATAGTGAATGCATAAATAAGGATTTTTTTGTTTTAGGATATTTTAAAATCAGTTCCCTTTCTCCTGGGTATTAACAGGTCAGAGTCCGTAGGCTTAAGTGCCACTGTGTAAGGGCCAACTCCCAGTGTCAACAACTCTGGGAGGGGAGGAATGCTGCCGATATCGCTGCTTCCACCGTCTGTAGGCAAAGAATTTACGTTTAAAATCTTTCCACTTTTACAACGGCAAAAAATTAAAGGAAAAAATTGTTTAAAAAAAACGCAAAAAATAATATTTCCACTTTAATCAACAATAGCAACCGGTTGCTTCTTTTTAAGTTAAAGCAGCAATTTTCAACTGGTGTGCTGCAAGAGGCACTGATATGCCACAAGAATTTTTAAAACATGCAATACCTGATTAGTCGGGGGCACTGACTTTATTTCCCTGGACTATCAAAAAATGACAAATGTCCGGAGTGAATCAAAATTATACCTACGTTGTCAGCAAAAAATACATATTTCTTGGTGTGCCACAGAATTTTAGGTAGTAGTTTATATATAGCACATACTGGGATGTGTTTAATCATACTTAAAAATTCATTTATGAATTTACCAATTTTTACGAAGATGACTTACAGAATCCAGAAGAGTATCTGGTACCAGTGCAACAACTTGACATTACCCTAACATTCGTCTCAGGCTTCTTCGTTTTAATCAACATTTTTATTCCGCGAAACACAATTTGGCCTCTAAGTCTAGGGGTTACCTACCCTTCTGCGGAAACTTCATGTCATTACAGTTCACTGTTACCAGCAATACTACTAAAAATTAGCCCACGTGGACTTAATGTATCATCCATTTTAACCAGAAGACACCTAATGCTGCTGTTCAGACTCTAAAACTTAATATCGGATACATACAAGCGCTAGCGAAGAGTTCACCGTGCTGCCGGTGATAATTCCCCTTAATTCAGGAAACGGTACCTCACCTTTAAGAGTTTTGCTATGTATAAAACTACAAGGATAAAAAGTAGGAAACTGCAGGTGAGGCTGAAATTGCTAACTGGAACAGATGAGCCCGTTAAATGTTTATACCACCGACTGCACTGTGCCTACCTACTGCATAAAAGGGTAATGACTAAAACGAGGTCGGTCAAAAATACACGCCTCTGTCCGAAGGGCATTTCAGCCGAATGTTGACTCTGGCAGTACAATCTCGATTTCCAGCGGAAGCAGTCAGGGTGCACATAAAGAGATAACGGCTGTCCTATGGTCACGAAAACCACCCGCCAAACAATCCACTACAAAGAACACAATTAGTTTAAGTAAAATGGAATGGAAAGGCACACGGTGAAGACTGCCTTTACAAAGAAACAGGCCCCGCCCCTGCCTCAGCAATCCCGGTTCGGCTCCGAGGAGAGCCACGCCAGCAGCGCGAAAGTTTCGTTTGTGCGCAGTAGGCCGGCCCAGTGCCTCGTGGGAAAGGCGGGACTTCCTAACTCTACGTCATCTCCAGTGCGACGCTAACGTCACTGGCTTGACTGGGAAGGTCAGCAGTGGCTGCGGGCGGCCGCGCGCGACCCCGCGCCCACTACACGCCCGGGGATCGCCGACGCATGCGCCTGGCGGCTTCGACGGAGCTAGACTTGCAGTTAGAGCCCGCTTCTCGGGCTCAGCCCTGGCGCGCACATGCTGTGCCGGCTTGGCGGTAGGTGGCTGCGGCCCCTGCCTGTGCGGCAGCTCGGGGCGCAGGGCCCGCAGTTTGTGCTGGCCCCAACTGGCGCTTCCAAGCGTTCCGCTGTGCCAGTGTGGGCGGTGGCTTCAGTCTCTGCAGTTAGCACGGGCGGCACGGGCGGCTGGTATGAAGCCCTGGCCACTTCGGCGGCCGTGCAGGGCGCGGAGGAGATGCTGCTCCACGTGCACAGCGCCACGAGCCTGCCTTGGTGGAGCACCGTCCTCCTCACCACCGTGGCCCTGCGCAGCGCCGTCACGCTGCCCCTAGCGGCCTACCAGCACTACATCCTGGCCAAGGTGAGGGGCACCGAGCCGCGCGTGGGCCCTGTGCGTCCACCTCCTGCACGAGAGGTGGTCAGCTTAAAATACCTACCGTACTTCCGGAGCGCTTACTATTTATTAAGTAATTGATCGTACTTCGTTGCTAAGAAAGTTAACCAGCGTTGGATGTGTGAAATAGATGTTTTAAGTCACAAGTACCTGTCATTTCGTTTCCTCTACTGGGTTTGTGCTCAAAGCATAAGTGATTACTAAGCTTGTTAAAGAGTGAGAGAAATGAATAGGCAGAAAATGTTGTATAGTGAAACATAAAATTACCGTTTTTGAGGTTGGAACAGCCTGTAGGTCAGCAGCATCTTTAGTCCCTAAATATCCCAACTGATCTTTTTAGGAAAAAAACTGTTAAGCTAGCGATTTGCAAACTTGATTCCTTATTCAGGCCGTTCCACCTGCAAGCCTGTGTCTAGGTTAGTCTTAGCCACTCGACTTTCAGTGCTTCGTTATTTTTTCTGTGGAATTAGGATAGCAATATCTTCCTGCCCTACTTCACATGGTTACAAGATCAAAACACATAATATGGGTTAATTATTCAAAGTATTATTCAAAGGTGAGACTTCAGAAAAAAAATGGCTTCTATATTTTAAGATTGTTATCGTTAGGGAAGAAAACCTGGAAGCAAAACGGAAAGGGATTCATCAGCATCACTAAGGCAGTGAGCTTCTTTACAGAAAGAATTAACACAGGGCAGATATAAATGCAAAATTTGGGGGACTCTGTGGCTATAACAACATGTTAAAGATTTATTAATAAATTTTATTTTTTCAATGTAGTTTACTAGGAAATCCAGGGATGAAACATAAAATAATAGGGTGCAGTTTTCATTTAATCCTTGCAGTAACTCTATGAAGGAGTACTATTATATGTTTTATATATGAGGGAACAGGATCTTAGACGTTAAGTAACTTGTCCAAGATCACACAGCTAAGTGGAATTTGAATTTGGTTGTAACTGAGCATATTGTAAACAAATTAACCTCTTATGCTTGGACTTAAAATTTCTTGACTTGCTTAGTAAATCACATTTTTAAATGTATTGAGAGACTAGAAAATAAAATTATAAGTGGTTATAAATAAAGGTCCTTTGTGTTCATAACAAATTCTACATTTTTTTTAGCTAGGTGGAAAATTTGCAGCCAGAAATAAAAAACATAGCGAAGCATCTTAACCAAGAAGTTGCAATTCGTGCAAATCAGCTGGGGTGGTCCAAAAGAGTTGCCAGGTAGGCTAATTCTATGCATATAAGACCATGAAAATGTATATATGTAATGTGTAAGTAATGATAATTACAGGTTTGGGTATTCTGTAGCTTTACCAGCAAAGTAGTTCTTTTTACTCTTTAATGTTTTAATAATTTTATGTGGTATGATAGTTTTATTATTTTTATTTTAGTTTTTAAAACTTACTGATTTTAGAGAGGAAGGGAGGGGAGAGAGAGAAATACCAATTTGTTATTCCATATATTTATGCACTCATTGGTTGATTCTTGTACGTGCCCTGACCAGGGACTGAGCCTGCAACCTTGGCGTGTAGGGACAGTGCTGTAATCAACTTAGCTACCCAGCCAGGGCTGACATCACAGTTTATATACTGGACAGAAAGTGAAGAAATGGAGAAACAAAGAAGGTTAAGTTTCTTATTCTTAAGGGTCCCTAGCCTACTGAAAAGACTTGTAATCAAATGATGACTGAATGAAGTACTATAAAAAGTTTTGTGCAAAGAGTTGGGTCATTATAGAAAGTTAGGGAAGGCTTCACAGGATGAAGATACAATGCCAGTCTGTTGAGATTTTAGTCAACAAATAACACAGGTTATTTACAAATGACCTTTTTGAAAAAATACTGTAGGCTAAAGTCCACAGGAATAGGGAAGTAGAAAATGTGAATGTCATGATAGAATGTCATGATCAACTGGATATCCAGGGTGTTGTTCATCCACTGTATTTACCCTGCGTGTTACTAATCTGCCTGGTCTCTTAGAAAAACCTTGCTTAAGGGTGCTTAACTGTGCTGCAGTCATTCACTGGGAACTTCTAAGTCCCCCTGCTTCAGTCAGCCTATGCTATTAATTTGCTTCCCAAATTCTGATCCCTACTAGACTGTAACAAAGTGTTCACCATTTCACAGCAATGAGGAAAAAAAAATATACACACACATACAAACAAGGTCTGTCTGGAAAAAAGTCCAGCTATTGTTAATATAATGAGAGCAGTTTGTGCAACATCCATGTAACCTGGCAGACAAGGAGAGTGGACTGGAATGCGCATGCATGAACAATAATGGCTTCATTGTACTAGTCAGTGGGGGCAGAAGAAACAATTGAGTGAGCATGTGTACTGTGTGAATGTTGTATTCAAAAGGACTGAGCAAGTAGACCAATGAATCTGCAGCAAATTTTGTATTTTAAGCTTGAACATTCCTCTGTGGAAACTATTTGGATGAATAAGAAGGCTGCAGCTATGGGCAATTGGTGATTGGCAACTTTATCATGACAACACACCTACTAATGCATCACATCTCCTGCAGAGTTTTTTAGCAAAACATTGTATCACCCAGGTGACTCAACCCTGGTACAGCCCAGATTTGGTGCCCTGAGATTTCTGGCTTTTCCCAAAGCTGAAATCACCTTTGAAAGGGGAAGAGATTTCAGACTTTGATAAGATTCAGGAAAGTAAGACAGAGAAGCTGGTGGCAATTGGGAGAGCTGTGTGAGGTCCCAAGGTGCCCTCTTTGAAGGGAACTGAGGCATCATTGTCCTGTGTACAGTGTTTCTTTTATCTTGTATCTTCTTCAATAAATGTCTGTTTTTCATAGTACATGGCTGGATACCTTCTGGACAGATCTCATATATGGTTATCCATCTATTTTATCTATATAGGTGTAAGTTTGCCAACTATCTTCAATATGAAATTGCTTCTCTTCGTGTTAAAAAGACCCGACATTTAGAAGTTTTAATAGCTTAATATTTTTACTCGATTAAATAAAAAGTTGGCAAACTTGTAGGTCTGAAGTTTTACTGATCTGCGAAATCTCAACTATAGCTCTAGGCCAAAAGAATAGATTTGTAGCTGCTCACGTGGGTTATAATTGCAGCCTAGATAAGCCTGTGGCACCCTACTTACGCAGCACTGGCGGGATGATTGTCCAGCCACATCCTTATGCAGATGGGTGGACACATTCTAGGAGGATGCATCCGAAGGTTTCCTGCATTTTCAATGGACCGAGTCTTGACACGGGAAAGGGAATTTGTCAGATGGATAACCAAGATAGTGGGTGTCCACACAGATGATAGGATAATTTGCAAAGGCATGCTGTTGTGGAAGTTTGATTTGTCGGATGACCTAAGTAATTCAGGCACCAGAAAATACATGTCTCTATAGAGGAATAACAGGAGATAAAGATGGAAAAGTAGGCAGAGGCTAACTTACAAAGAGCCTGGAATGTTGGTGAGTGCTGTCTTAATTCAGTACACTATAATTCAGTTAAATTCAGCAAACCTATTAAGTGCCTTACCTTTGTATAAAAATATGCTGCAAGAGCTTTAGAGATGAGTGAGATCCTACACTTGACGTTCAAGGAGGCTGTAGTCAATAAAGTGGGACTTAAGAACAGGAATGAACTAATATGGTTAACAGCGAAACAAATAAAGAAAATCTTCATGAGAGAGACTTAAAGAATGGAGACCATTTTGGCAGGCTAAGAGCATACACAGTACAAAACAACATTGTTACAAAAGATATATTTAGGAACCAAGTAATTGGGCTTAGCTAGAGTGGAGGGATTTGAGTAAAACGTTCTTTCACCTTTAGTATTTTTGATAGAAATTGCAGTAATACCAAGTTGTGAAGTGTCCCTTGTTACAACTGAATTGGCCAAAGATCACCATGGACAAAGCCTGACAACATTACATTTATTGAATTGTTAGGTAATGTTTGTAGCTAGAGAATATTCAATAGAAGTTTTTATTTACCTTTTGTTCAGTCAGCCCTTTAATGGCGCTTATGACAGAAATGCTACATAAATCCGTCAGCCAGTAACCACAACCTGGCAGTGTTTGTGCTGTGGTTATGAAGCACTGTTAGCAGTCAAATGACATTTTCTCCTTTCCCTTGTTCCCTCTTCCCTCAAAATAGGCTCACCTATCTAAAGAATATGCGGAGGCTTGTTTCAGAGCTGTACGTTCGGGATAACTGCCACCCTTTCAAAGCCACGGTGTTGGTCTGGATTCAGATTCCAATGTGGATCTTCATGTCTGTTGCTCTCCGGAATCTTAGCACAGGAGCCACACATTCAGAAGGTACTTGTCATGGAAGTCCGTTTCCCCAAATAAGTTCTCTAACATCGTCTTTGTACTTGTAAGAAAAAAAAAAAAAACCCATACTTTTCATACTTAGAATACTTTAACCATTTTCCTTATAAACAGTGTAAGTATAGAATTTGAAATATTAAGTGTAATCAAACTAGCTGTGTTGAGAAAACAAATCTAGGAAGGACAGCAATAACACTGCTTCAGGAAGGACATAGTAAAATTAGTGTTACAATTTCATAGTTTGATTTCCTAGCTAAGAATTGTTTTTGTTTCTAAACTTAAGAGAATAGAAAAACTTTCACGGTTATAAATGTAAACATTAGTTAAGAAACAATATAAACTAAAGCATTTGTTTTTTTACTTTCACTGAAAGGCATTTCTAACAAAGTAATCTGAATTGACTGGAAAGAAGCAGCCTATGGCTACGTAATTATTTAAAAATTAAGTCTGAAAAGATTACTGCTACAGATTTTTATGTTCTCTACATCTGTTTTTTTACAGAAAGCTGCTTGCCTCTTTCTCACTATAGGAAGGACTAATTTGTGTTATGGCATGCAAATAGCCTGAAAAAAAACCAGTGCAAGTCTTGAGTGTGATGGACACCTTATTAGAATTATATTACTATGTAATAAATATTTCCTTCTGCTGTTTTTAGAAATTCTTTTATTTATAAAACTTTCAGCAGGTTTTTCTGTTCAGGAGCAGTTAGCTACTGGTGGGGTCCTGTGGTTTCCTGACCTCACTGCGCTGGACTCTACTTGGATTCTGCCTATCTCCGTTGGTATCATCAATTTATTAATAGTAGAGGTCAGTGGTTTTAAGTAAGATTTGTTTGTCATTTATTAGGATTTCTTTTGTTGCCTTTCTGACATCAAATATAAATGTGTTTAAATATGCTTTCTGGTTGCAGATCAGCCATTGACAAACTGTCTGAGGCCTGTTCCTTAACCTCTCTGGGGGAGAGAATGCTTGTCATTAAAATAAGAGAGCTGAATTAGAACACTTGCAAAGTCTCTTTCAGCTTTAAAATTATATGATTCAGGTGTCCATTAGTAGATGAGTGAATAAAAAAACTGGTACATTTACATAGTGGAATACTACACCCCCATAAAAAAGAAGGAAATCCTACCTTTTGCCATAGCGTAGATGGACTGGGAGATTATTATACTAAGGAAATAAGCCAGTCAGAAAAGACTCTTATATGTGGACTCTAATGAACAAAATAAACTGATGAACAAAATAGAAACAAAGGCATGGACACATGGCACAGACTGACAGCGGAGAGTGGGGCAGGGAGACTGGATGGAAGAGGCCGGAGGGATTAGCAAAAGAACATGCGTGCGTGACTCGTAGACACAGTCAACAGTGTGGTGAAGGCCATATTGAATACGACCTCTCAGCCACGTCTTACCATTACCCCGTGCTGCTTTACTTAAAACAGTTTATGGGAAGCCTGCCTTTAATTTCATGAAGAGCTGCTCTCAGACTCTGAGTAGAACATAGATTCTTTGAACTGGAAGAAACCTTAGAAATGATTTGCCTCAGTTGAGATCTCATAGACCTTATGTCCAGTGGTCTCTGAGAAATCTAATACACCCTTTATTTTTTTAGACAAAAATGAAGATGATGCCATAAGGTGTTGGTCAAAAGTGTCTTGAGGAAAGACTCCAGTCTAAGTCTGCGGTCTAAGTGTATTTCCCTATGAGCTCCTAGCCAGAGTGTTGTGAATAGGGTTGGTACTTAGTGAATATTTGTTAGAAAGAAGGCAGTGATAAACACAAGGTTACCGTGGATTCATGTCAATCCTCTAGTCTTTCCTTTATGCCATCTCCTAATCCAGTATGCGTAAGTTTAATAAAAGCTTATTCTTAGTTAACATACACCGTGTTTCCGGCACTATTTTAGCAGGTTACATTATCTTTTTATTTTTATTTTTTTAAATGTCACCTTTTATTTATTTTTAGAGAGAGGAGGAGAGGGAGAGAAACATCAATGTGTGGTTGCATTTCGTGCGCCCCCTGCTGGGGACCTGGCCTGCAACCCAGGCATATTCCCTACACTGGGAATCGAACCGGGAACCCTTTGGTTTGCAGGCTGGCACGCAGTCCTCTGAGCCACACCAGCTAGGGTATACATTATTGAACTTACTCAATTCTTAGACTAATCCTGTAATGTAGGTACTGTTGTTAACGCCCATTATAAGGTGGAGAAAGTGAGGCACAAAGAGATTAAGTAACTTGTGCAAAGTCACATAGCCCTAAATGCAGAGCTGCGATGTGAGCCTAGGAAGATTGGCCCTAGAGTCTGTGCTCGTAATCATTACACTGTGTTGCCTCTTAAATAAGTAATTTCATAAGTCATAACTGCTTTTCCTAGTCTTGGTTCTTCCCCTTATTCCATGTAGCCACATCACAAACCTTTGAGATACTAAGTTCCTTCTTTATGCCAGGCACTAGAATCTCCTTTATTGCTACATTTAAAGCTTCTGCATAATTGTTACGTTTTATAAAAGATAAATGATCAACCACATAAATTTATCTATGTCTTATCTTTTTATTTTTTGCTTTTATTAATATAAAAGTGGAGGCCAGTCAAAAATCAGTTTGTGTTTTAAAGCTTGTTTAATTTAATATGCATTTTAATCATAATTGTGTGTGCACATATTCTACCCCTTCAGATTTTTGCTCTACAAAAGATTGGAATGTCTCGTTTCCAGATGTATGCTACGTACTTTGTTCGAGCAGTGTCAGTGTTGATGATTCCAGTTGCTGCGACAGTACCTTCAGTGAGTAAGCACCAGCACTGCTTGCTTAACCTTGTCTGATTGTACGTTTGAATGGCTGAGTTTCTGCCTCTTCTGTGGTGCTTTCTCTGACTACTCAATCCCTTACTGATTTCTGAATTTTTTCTGTAATAACTAATTTACTGTTTCTGTTACCAAGTGGCACTTAAATCTTGGGATTGGTTGATTTCCCTTTATGTGAATGTGTCTTAACTCTGCTACTAAATCAAACTCTTTTTTTCTTTTTATAATCTTGCAAAATACTTTGCACGGTTCCATGAACATAGTATTTAGTCTGATTAGTTGCTGTATTGAATTTTTTTCTGTCTACATAGACAGGGCCAAGGAATTTAGTACTTAAAAAAGAAGCAAAACTTTGTGCTAAGCACATGTGGGTTCACAGGTAATGTTATTTAACCTCGGACAACTCTTTATGAAATAGGTACACTGGTCACCATTTATTTGTAATTAAACTTTGATAGAAATAGAAAAAGAAATGGTTATGTCTTCAGTTACTTTGTATTTGTATAGTCTTCTGCTTATTTTCTATAGCTACTTAGTGCTAAGATGGCAAAAGCTATGTCAGGTGTAATTGTCTTTGATCACAACTGATGATACATGTACTATAAAATAGGATCCATTTGTTGCTGATAATTAGGGTTTTACCAGTTTTTCATATTACTTGTCTTATGAATCTGGAACAGTATATTTTCAGCATCAAAAATTTATTTTTAAAGCTATTCCTTGGATATAATATTGTCATTAATCCTGTGTAAAGTAAGTTTCCACATTTCTAAAATGACATTCTAATGTCTGTGAGAATTAATGAAATAACATCAAGTGCCTATTATAGTATTTTTTATATAATAGTATTGTAAAATACCCTGTAAAAATAAAACAATACAGATTTACTACATTTCTGGGTAGAAATAATACCAATTATAACTGAGGAAACCCCCAACTCAAATAAAATAAGAGCAGTGAAGTTTCAGTGAGAGACTGGGTTCGAAGTGAGTAACAGATCTAAAAAAATGTCTTCAATACCCAGAAGTTGATTCTCTTAAATACAGAAGTTCAGTTAGGCAGTGTAGTGTAGAGCTCGTGGAGGACACGAGAGACCCAGCCTGCTGCTGCTTCAGTGCTCCATCATCCACAGTCCGTAATTTCCGTTCTTAAAGCCACAGTATGGTCACGATGGCTGCTGGAACTTAGCACCTTGCAGGAATGGTGAAAAGGGGCTTGCTGCTCGTGCAGCCAGCCCCGTGTAAGGAGCTTTGCCAGATGTCCCACCCAACACCAAACACTTGGGCTTACATCTTACTTATGTGGCCACACCTAATTGTCAGAGAGGCTGGGAAGTCCTTTTCTTTTGAAATGGCAGTATGCCCAGATGAAAATTAGGGCTTCATTACTAAGCAAGAAGAATGGTTTTTAGTAGACAGCTTATAGTCTATGTAGTTGAGTTCCGGATACTTTTTATTTAGTGGATAAATCAGAGGATGGTAGCTAATGTTTAGTCAACATTGATTTTGTGCCAGACACTGTTTATATTAGTTTATATATATTAGCTCATATAATCCTCCGAACAATGCACTGAAGTAGGCACTATTATAATCTCTACTTTAGTGATGAGGAAACTTCAGCACAGAGAGGTTAAGTAACTCATCCAGGGTCACTCATGTAGTAAGTGGCAGAGTCTTAGCACACATCCAGACAGCTTGGCTTTTGCTCTTAACTACAATGCTAATCTGCCTTTGATGATTCGTTCTTTTCTGCTCCTAAAAACTTGCTTTTCGAACAAATGCAAGTGCTTAATATGGGCCATACACTGTGCTTACCACTCTGTGAATTAATCTCATTTATTCTTCACCACAACCTTCCAAGATAGATACAGTCCTGTGCCCATTTTATAAATGAGAAAACTGAAACAGAAGGAAAATAACATACTCAAATAAATAGAATTGCAAACTCCAGGACCTGGGCTCAACTACCGCATAATCATGCCCCCGGGGGTCTGATTACCTTCTGATGCGAACAGAAGTTTGGACACTTGGATGGATGGGCTTGTTATTAGAGGCTGCAGAACTTAGTCACTGACCTACATAAATCAATCTGGGTGGTAGCACAACAGAAAAATGAAGATAATGCTGAGACTGTATATCTCAAAAAAAGTCAAAGATAATGTATTCCTGAATATACTTAGCAATTGTTAACTGAAAAAATTTGGTGGATAGAGGACTCCTGTGGTGGAAAATGAGGAAGAGGTAGGCTAAGGTTGCCATCGTAAATGACCACGCCCCCAGCACCTTACCTCCAACATAGCAGTTTGTCAGGACACTCGGTGGGGAAAAAGCATGTGTGAGTGCCGAAGAAGGGAGGTGAGACCTGACTTGGGCCTCTGGGAGCTACTGTCTTTCATCCATTTTCTTTCATGAATACCTCTCCTTTTGCTTTCTTTTCACTTTTCGGTCTTTCTTTCATCCTTCTTTCTTACCTATTGAATCCGTGACAGGCACCTAATAGGGGCTGCAGGCCTTGTTCACTCCTAGTGTGCTCTTTACAGAGATTATACTTTACTTTTCGTTGCCTGCCTGTCTCTGGAGCTTGGTGTCCTTGGAATGAATGTTTCATTCATGTCGGGTTTTTTGTGTTTTTTTTATAGTCAATTGTTCTCTACTGGTTATGCTCCAGCTTCATGGGCCTTTCACAGAACTTGCTGCTGCGTTCTCCTAGGTTTCGCCAACTTTGCCGAATACCCTTGACCAAGGGAGACTCAGACACTCCTTATAAGGATCTTTTTGCTGCCTTTCACGCCAAGTTTATTTCAAGAAAATGACATATTTTTCAGCAACTTGAAACAATTACAAATGTCACTACCACTTTAATATACTTAGAAGACTTATTCAGATATGACTTAATTTGCCTTTATTTAAAATCATGAACTCCATGAAGTACTAGGGTTAAAATATAATCCAGTTATGTTTGACAATACTTAAAATTTTTTAAATGCTAGAAATGTATTGATAGTATGTTTAATTGTATCCTAAGAATGTAAAAGTGTCTGGCTCTGTTTATGAAATAACAATTTGCTAGAGGAGGCTAGAACTTTGGAAAACAGGAATAGATAACTAAATGATACCAAGTTGTACTGAACAGTCCCACACATTAAGATTTTATAAAACAAGAGAATCCAGTGAGGGTAACTCTTAAAATTTTGGAGGTGTAAACAATTAAGATATCTTTGAAGATCGGGTAAAACCATGTTTTTCTTCAGAAAACTCCTAAGACTGACATCGGGGGGCCGTCATTGACCACTGCTCTGAAATACCTCTGGTAACTCCTGGTTAAGAGATTTCATTCTAATGGAACATACATTGACAATGGGTTAATGTGTGATTTTTAAAAAAACAGACTTGAGATACATGGTAGTAGAGTAGTCCATGCATGCAAGAAAGCACCTAATAGGGTAGTTGGTATGGCCTCTCAACCATGCTCTGAAGGAATACCAACAGTGTACATTCCTTTTCCTCTTACTCAAGAGGTCTGGAATACAACATATGGAACTAAGTACTGCCAGAGACCAAAGTGGCAAATCTAAACATTAAGTTTGTTTAGTCAAAGGAAGATAAACCAGAAGGGGGCTACCTATTATGGAGGTGATTTTATAAACTAGTTTATTTGAAGGATTAAGTACTCTAATGGGTTAAAACTATGGTACATGTTTAATATAGGAAAAATTGACAGGTAATATAAATGGTGGACCCAGTTTATGTGTTTAATTCAGAAAGATGATAAAATTAATTCTGGTTGAGATTTTTAGGAATAAATTGGACAGGCATTTGAGAAGATTATAAATTACAAATTTTCACTGTGTTAGAGTATGAACCTGATTCTGAGATGCCCTATCATTCCATCTTATGTTTTATAATAAAATAAAAACTAAAGTGAAATTATTGGTAATTTGTGGTTTCTTGAGTAATGTCTATAATGTCTTAGCCATTTTGATTGCCTTGTTACTGTAACTCACTGAGAATTTAGAGCAGCTGAAACTAGCTTCTCCTTCCCTGACTTCCCAGTCCTGGCTGATGACTCTCCTATTGAGAATACCATGCTTCCCAGTAAAGAATTAGAACTTACATATAGTCAGTCCTCTTTGGCAGATTTTGTATTTGCCAATTTGCCTACCTGCTAAAATTTGTAAACCCCAATCAATACTCAGTACTTTTGATGTCATCTTGGACATGCACAGAGTAGCAAAACATTTGAGTCACCTGAGGCACATTTTTTCCCAGTGAAGTCAAACAAGGCAGTGCTGTGCCTTAACATTTCAGTCTTCAAACTGTAAATGTGTCCTTTTTGTTGTATATTAACTGCTGTTTTTTCTCATTTTTGTGCTATTTGTTAGATATTTCTCTATTTAAAGCGGCCTCCAAGTGTCATGCTGAAGTGCTCTCTAGTGAAGTTTCTTAAGGAAAAAATACCTGCCTTAGGTAAACTTCAGTCCTGAGTTCTGTGGGCCGTGAGTTTAATATAAATGAGTCAATGATACATTGTATTGATGGTTGATGAGAATGTGACCAGAGGCTCCTGGGAACTTAGGAGCAACATTAATTCCATGCATGTGTAGAATCCATTAATTCAATCTTGGTGCTGACTTGAAAGAATATAACCATCTCAAATAACTGCAACATTTACAGTCAAAGAAGCAGAAACAGAAATGTGTGTTCTCCTTTATAGCAAAAATAAGAGGAAATTTGAGAAAAATTTTGGCTGTCTCTGCAACAAATTGGCCCTTGGTATGTGCATCATCACTGTCTACTCATTCAGATATTTTTCTCATGATGAGATGAGGGAAATCAACTCACTTTGTTTTATCCAAAGATATTTATCATTTTCTTAAAAGTAAAAAAGGAATGCTTGACTCCCCCTTTTCAAATGGGTGAATCTCCTTTCATGTGCATACTTTACCTTGTTTACTGTGTGTGGTTCCCCTTGATTTCAAATTGTACATTTGTATGTTTTTTCAAATGGGTATTTTACCTAATTTCCTATTGCTCTTCCATTTTCAAACTTTTTGAATTGCTTTTCAAATATATACAGTAAGTTTATTTGGGAATACAAGACCCTTCCAAATCTCAAAATAATTTGATAGGGTTGGGAGTGTCTGGGATCTGCAGATACACTCATGTATAAAGAAAACCAGTTATGAATTGAGCTGAATCAGTCACCTGACCAGGCTGGTAAGTAATCCTGTCATTTCTTTCTCCAGGCAGATTTTATAGTAAATAACAAGTCATATTTCATACCATTCCACATCTGTGGTCTTTGATCTTATTTCCCCAGCAGTTTGTTATGATATGGAGCGCTTCCAGAGCGTGCGGTCAGGCAACTGTATACTAAATGGGCACGGAGAACACATGCTGTTAAGATCCCTTGACAACGTCCTGTCTAGTCCTATCTCTTCTGCTGAGGGATTCCTGGCAGAGCTCAGTCCTGGGCCCTACAATTCCGAATTCAGGTGGTGGCCATGGTCTATTTGCACCATTTCTGGACAGGGTTCAGTTTTTTATGGGTGTGTCTCAGCCCAAGAGTCAGGAAAGGAGACTCACTTCTGAATCAATTTATATTATACCATTATGACACCTGAACTCAGAATTCTGTTAGAAGATGAAATTGGTCTACCTGGAATGACCCAAAATTACTCTTCCAGGAACCATTGGGAGAGGAAATGAACAGTCCTACCTTGGCCTAATGTCATAGGTGGGCACATGGGGCTTTACAAAAGAAAATAAAAATCCCTGATTGCCACCCTTGCAGATAACCCAAGAGAGGTTGCAAAACTACATGAAGGGCCTTGAAGGGAAAACCAAACCTGGGTGGAGGCCTTTCCAGGTACTGCATCTTTAAAAGCACTCGTGCGCTAAAGAGCCAACCCTCACGTCTCAGAAGAGGTTCAGCCAGTCCTAGACCACACTGAGGAAATTGTAGTTTCTGGGGAAAAATGGAAAAAAAGGGGGGGGGGGAGTAATGCCCAAACAAAGCTGAGTAGCTTCTCTATTTTCTACCTATACTTAAATCACCCCATATACAGGTCTGTCCAGAAAGAATCCAGCCATTGTTAATGTCACAACGGTTTGTATGACATCTGTGAAACCTGGCCGCTGAGGAGAGTGGGCTGGAATGTGCGTGTGGGAACAGTGATGACTTCACCCGTCAGTGGGGTCTGTAGACCCATTGAGTGGGCATGTGTACTGCATGGTTATCACATGCAAAATGACTGAGTAGAGCAACGAATCTATATCAAATCTTGCATTAAGCATGAACATTCCTCTGTGAAAACTATTTGGATAATTCAGAAGACCGCAGCTCTGGGCAGCTGGCGATTGGCAGCTTCATCACAGCATTGCACCCACTCACGCATCACATCTCGTACAGAATTTTGGGGGGGGGACATCAAATCACCCAGGTGACTCAACCCCCTTACAGCCCAGATTTGGTGCCCAGCGACTTCTGGCTTTTCCCAAAACTAAAATCACCTTTGGAGGGGAAGAGATTCAGATCATCAATGAGATTCAGTAAAATATGAAAGGCAGCTGACGGCTCTTGGGAGAACTGTGTGAGCTCCCAAGGCGCCTACTTTGAAGGGGACTGAGACATCATTGTCCTATGTACAATGTTTATTGTATCTTGTATCCTCTTCAACAAATGTCTCTATTTTTCATATTACATGGCTGGATATCTCCTGGGAAGACCTTGTATCTTCATAGTTTCCTCCTCTGAATATCCCAGGAATCACTTTTTTTTAAATTTAGAGAATCACCTTTTAAATTGCTTCAATATCAGATTAAGCCCTAAAAGGAATAGGAATGAAGACCCCAGGAAAAAGTTAACAAAATTGGTTTCTTTTCCTCTAGGGTGGTAAGTGGAGTTATCACAGACTACAAAATTTGAAATTCTAGGCCTGACACTCAAATCATGAAAGAATTAGATTTCTGTAATAAAGCTAAATATTTAAAGCTATATACAAATATAATATAAAACATGAGACTGCAGTTACAATGGTCTATCATTACAGACACTTGTGTCTTTTGTGAGCCAATTCTACCAGAACATGTAGTCTGGAAATTATCTGAATGTATAGAAAATTTTCTATTTGAAACTTATGGGTATAGTTCAAAGTTGTAATAACTGTCTAAATAGAGATTTTTATGAAATTATTATTTGGCTTGGGATATTTGAATTTGTGCAGTATTACAATCATACATGAATTGGCCCAAAAGTTTCTGAAACTTTGGACTTCTGTACTGTGTTTAAACAATTGAATTAAGGATTTACATATATTTGTCCTGGTTTGTGTGATACAGTGGATTGAGTGCCAGCCTGCGCCAAAGGGTCACTGGTTTGATTCCCAGTTAGGTAGGGTACATGCCTGGGTTTTGGGCCTCCAGTGGGGGTGCACAAGAAGCAACAACACTTTGATGTTCTCTTCCTTTCTCCCTCCCCTTCTCTCTAAAAACAATAAATCTTTTTAAAAAATTTATATATATTCATCTCTTTATGTATACATATATGTATTTGCATCTATGACTATTTCAGTCAAAACCTATAAATCTTTACACGTAATTGTTTGCTAGTCATGTGTAACATGAACGTACCAGATATCTCCTTGATAAGCCTGTTAAAAATTGAAAAACGGGCTGAGATCAAGCCAGTATTAATTGAGAGAATCCTCTAGACCTGTAAACCTTGGCATGACAATATATAATGTTAAGTTGGTATGGGGAACTTAATATATTACAAAATTTATTATTTCACATCTTAGAAAAAGGAACAAAGTAATTTTTTAAATCCTCACCCAAGGATATACTTTTTGATTTTTTAGAGAGAGGGAAGGGAAGGAGAGAGAGCTGGAGAGAGACATGAAAGTGAGAGAGAAACATCAGCCAGTTGCCTCCCACATGCCCCTAACCAGGGACCAAACCCACAACCTAGGCATGTGCCCTGACCAGAGATCAAACCCAGTCTTTCAGTTTATGAGACAACATTCCAATCAGTTGAGCCACACTGGCCAGAGCAGAGCAAAGTAATTTTTAAAGGCTTAAAAGATCAGGGTAACATTTAGCAAATTTGAAAATAATTACTGAGACCTGGCTGGTATGTCTCAGTGGATTGAGTGCTGGCCTATCCATTTTTCAGAGAACTGAAAGGTCTGGTTGGATTTCTAGTCAGGGTACGTGCCTGGATTGCAGACCAGGTCCCCCATTGGACACAAGGGAAACCGGATTGATGTTTCTCTTGCACATTGATGTTTCTCTCCCTCTCTTTCTCCCTCACTTCGCCTCTCTTTAAAAATAAATAAAATCTTAAAATAATTACTGAAGACAATGGGGGACCTACCCCCCAAAATGGAATTTCTTTATTTAAAAAATTGTATATTCTTACATGTGTAAACCAGTCACCTTCAAAGTACTCTCTATTTTGATGCAATACACCTATCAAGATTTCTTTCTGCTGTTCAAAACAGTTTTTGAACTCATCGATTTTGATGCCTTTTAGTGCTTCTGCCATTTTTTGTTTCACCTCTTCCAACATAGACAAAACGTTTGTCTTTGAGGACTTTTTTCATCCAGGGAAACAAACAAAAAAGGTTGCTTGGGGCAAGCTCAGGTGAAACGAGCAGTGCATTCATGCCATTTTTGGTCAAAAACTGCTCAACACTCAGCCTGGTGTGGACAGGTGCATTCCTAAATCACCCATCATGAAATGGGAAAGACTTGGAAGAGCCTTCAAAGAAATTTACTGAAGCCCAACACAGCTTCACAACAGCGCCAGCTGGTACACTGACACAGATGGGTTCCTAGAACACTCACCTAGCAGGGGAAGCCTGTACTACAAGGGGCCTGTCCTCCAGAAGGTAATACCAT